TAACTATTATAAAATGGCAAAAGACTCAATTTTGAGGGTAAAAGTGAGTTTTATAAAAAATTGTAAATGCTAATAACTAGTAAAATCATTATTAAGTTTTACCGTACTGTATATACACACAACCGTATTTTACCTCCTATCCCACATACAATAACATCCATACATACCGAAAACTTCTCAATGTTTTTTGCATTTCTCGATGTTTGAAGGTGTTCTAAGTTTAAAAATGTAAAAGTCATGGGAGCCGTTTTTGATCAAGCGCCATACTTTTCCTCTGTTATATATAACAGTCGGGAAAGTGAGATGAATATTGGAAAAGTTAACAGAATGATAACTGAAAAGTGAAATAGTATAAAAAGTGTTGTGGATAGAATTATTACATATACAATTTTATATATACATACATACATACATACATACATACATACATACAGTATATGAACATTACTATCTCACATATGTGTAACAATTACAATTTTCTAAATTAACCTCCTAAGAATTTATTTCTTTCTGATTATGGTTGATTAAATTAAAAAAAAAACTATATCAAATTGATATTTAAATATTCCAACTTATATAACTTAAATAAAGTATTTTTTTATCGATCTGATAAAATATATAAACCAAATGTAAATTTTAAAGTGCATTACTAAAATTTATATTTTATATTTGCATGATGACTGCTATTTTAACTTCACAGATCAATAAACATTATCAAATGCTGCCTAGTTGGAATGTTGCAGTCATATTGTAAACAGGTATTCTGCTTAGATAAGTAAGGGTCTAACAATTAGCCTATTAATTTATTACACTTTATTGGTTATTATTTAATTATTAACAATTTTTCGAACACTAAAATCACTAGATTAAAGTATAATTGCATTCCTTTTATAAAACTTCATTTATATATTTTATACCGTAAGATAATTCTGTTCTGCGGCTACATTGAGCGTAAACTGTTTCATAGTATTTTTTTATATTCCTTTTAAAATATAAAGTCATTATTGATAATATAATTATATTATACTATTATATTTACAGTATAATTACACTTTTATAATATATTGATTAAATTGTTATAATAGTAATGAAGAGTTATATTTAACTTTTTATTCTAACAGAAAAATGAAATAGTCGCTTATTGATTTGCACTGAAACGAAATTTTTATTTTTTAAAAACGTTAATGTTATAAAATATTTTGTATTGTAATTATTTATGTGTCCTTTTATAATATTTTCATTAGACATTTTACAATTATTTTTTTCATTATTTTAAATAGAGAATAATAATATTAGATATTATACATGGTTACTTCATTTGCTGACGTTCTAGAAAATATAAAACCGAATAGATCTGTACCGAATGCACTTTGTTTACGAATTAATAAAGAAGGGACAAAATGTTGGATCTTATTATTATCTTTCAACCTGATAAAGATAAAATAAGCATTAATATTCAAAAGTGCATTTACAAAGACTCATAAAAAAACAGATATTGAAATGAATTTATATTTAAACGCTACTTTTAACTTAGTTATAATTAAATATGTTGTGAAGAAAATAAGATGTATTTAACAAATTTTAGTAGTTATATATTAATATTAATTAAACTGCTTTTATGCAAATAGTATTTGCATTTTTATTTTAAAAAATCTTCAAGAATTTAATGTAGTTTCAATGTCCATTGATTATATTATAGAAGAAAATCTTCAATATAGAATAAAATGCTTCTGAAAATCATCAATTTTGTTCATAACAACTCACATTATTTCTGAAGACAAAGTCTGTCCAAAAAGGAACCACCATTTATTTATCTCATGTTTCACACTACACACTTTTGAAAATAAAATATTATTTTCAATTGAAATTATAATTAACAAAGTTATTTAAGCTAATTATTCGAGTATTGTAAATAATCGAACATTTGATGTCTGATTAACTTTCAAATTCCATAAAAGGGCTATTCGCCTATCTATAATCTATATATTAATATGAGAAGCCTGAATACTGCGCAGCTTCTTTTGAGAGAATGCATAAGGTACAAACGTGATTCAGATATTAAATTTAAGCTTTAACAATGTTAACAATGAAAGTGTGGATGTGATTAAGTAACAATTGAAATGTTAAGAGAAAGCAACGTGTAAGATTTACAGGCGCAGATGCGGTTTTTTGAGTTTTTGCGAGAAATCGAACATATTTTTAGACCCATCTAAAAATTTTTAATCAGTCTGGAAACAGGGCAACCTAATTCTTGCCTTATGAGAAAACTGGTAAGATTGGCTATAATATAATAATCTTATCTTCGCTATCGTTACTTTTTGCCCGAGCAACGCCGGGCTTATCTGCTAGTAAAAGAAAATTCATCATCACATTTATTTTTCAAATAAACTATTTTAATTTTTAAAAAAAAATTAATGTTACATGTTAGTAAAATAAAGTATTGGTTTATTGATATTATTTTAATTGAACAAAAGCGTAGATTTGCTTGGGTTCCTGCTAGTAAGTAGTAAAAGTATCAAATGAGTTTATTAACTGAAAACGTATACAGTGTCTGCCAAGGCAGCCAAACGTTTTTGAAGGAATACAAACCGATTTGGTTTTCTGCTTGGCTTATAACATATTCAATGTTATACAGAAAGAGACAAAGTTCATCATGCTTAATTAATCAAATTAGCGAATATCAGTTTACGTGATCTTTTCCGCAGCGGCTCACGTCTGGATTAGGGCCAATAATTTCAAAATTTCAAGTAATACATGTCATTTGCCGTGAGTCGGACTCTGTTTTAGTGGACCATACCATGACGGCTTAAGGCTGAATTAAAGTTATGAGTTGAATAAGAGTTTTGTGAAATTTAATATAATTGGCAGATAGAGAACATTTACATGCTGTTTATTAATTTTTTCCATTTTTGCAAATAAAATATAGCATACAGTTTATTAAAGCAAGGAACAGTCATGAGCAAACGGCTCATAAAAAAATTCCTGATGTCCTGACGGGCCTGTCCACTACTAGGGGATGCTCGCCCGCATTAATACCAAAGCCTCAGAGAGGTAGGTCTACACCTCTTTGAGGTCGTTGTAAAATCTGTACGAAATTTTTCATATTTATTCTCGAGGACCCGAAAAAAATATAGACTACCACGAAAGCCTGAACACCTAACCCTGCCTGATTTAGTTCCAATTCTTAACTCATAAACACCTTTGTGCCATCTGCACATGATCTTTTTCACTTATTCTCTGGGATATTTAGAAAAATTGCAGGCTATCAGATGACTGTTAGAAGAATATAGTTAACATGAAAACTATTATTTTATTAAGTTGTTAATAACAAAAAAATAATTGAAATTCCATTAAAAATAAAACTAGTGAAACCAGTTGAAAAAATAAAACTGCAATAACATCTACACAAAGAACACTTGAAAATTGTGGCATATGTATACTGGAAGCAGATTTGACAGTATGACTCAATGTGTGAATAAAGTGTACATTACACAGACTACGACTACAGGAAATTTTGGATGAAACAATGTCACCATGACAATAAATCAGAAATATCATCATCGACACAGATAAAAGCTTCGAGCTCTGCCTTGTGCCTCAAATTTCCTTTGCTGATACTACCCAAATATAATTTGAGCTTGTTCAATTTGGCGTACAATAATTTGGCTGTTCTAACGTTCAGCCAAATTATTGTACGCCAAACGACTTTAAGGAATGTTTTTGAAAATGGTCAGCAATTCATATAAACAGGTTATTTCTTATCGTTATGTGAAATATGTGTGTTAAAACGCTAATAAGAGAAAAAAAGAAATACTTTAAGAACGACTGAATATGAAATATTAATGACTCTATAATAAACAATGTGTCGTTAAAAAATATCCTGTAATAATAAATATATCAATGTTTGTTAGTTATTTTTCATAAATTTATATAAAGTAACATAGATTGTGTGTAATATCAAATTAATCTGAAAATTAATTTGAGTATTTTTAATTTCATATTAATTAAAAATTGTGATGAAAGTTTTTTTATACATTTAATAATCACAATATTTAAAAAATATAGGTAATGCTAAACACAGAGCTATTAACTAAATTAAAAAAAAAAACTTTCATGATATTACTTTTATTTTGTGAATGATTTACTCCACAATAGCAAACTTAATGTCACGAAGTTAGAATAAAATATAAAATTTACACAACTACTTTTTTAAACCTCTATATCAAAATCAAATTATATAAATGGATAGCTCTTCGTGAGAACGATTTTCTATAATGCATGAAAATAAAAACAATTTCAAATGTTCAGTTTATTTAATTGTATTGCTGCAAGTTTAAATTTTTTTAATATATTAAGAATAAACTATTCTCAATTTACACATTATTTAATTAAACGAACATGGTAAATTCCGTGCAATTGTCTCGAATTGAATTTCTAAATAACTATACAATTTGGCCCTTATGACCAAACTAAATAGTTATTTCTTGCTTATAAATAGTAAAGAGTACATTAATATATAAAGTAAATATATATTATATAGTTTAGGCCTACTGTACAACTTCAACGATGTAAGTGATAAAGAGAAAAATATTACAAATTTTGAAAAAATGCTTTGTTCGGACAGTTTTCACAAATAGTTTTGACGAAAAGACGGAATCATTTCTTCCTAAGTTATTTAGTTTAAAAAAGTTAGATTAATTTTAAAAGTACAATTTCAAAAATTGCTCGCGTTTAGTGTTTAAATTTTAGAACATTTTCGAAATATAAGAATTTCCTGATAATTACTTTTTCAATATTTTCAGATTTAGTAAATAAAATTTCAGATAAATCTGCAACATTTAATTATAAGCGAAATATTGATATAAAATATTCCAGTTTTTTATTGACAAATGAATTTTGAGCATATTATTTATACTTACAGATAAAATATTTTTGCAACGAGAGTCAGTTTAACTTAACAAATGCTTATAAAAATTTATATAAATAATTTTTTTTTTCAGGAATGAAGAATTCGCTGAAAAATATAACTCTTGCATTTCTTACATTAGAGGTAATTTACTTAAAGTTACTTTGTTTTGTTTTAACGATAGAGTTAATTTTAGATGTTTATAACAATTTTGCTTAAATTTTAATAGTAAAGCATTTGTGACATAACTTATAGTGTTTTAAAGTAAATAAGCGTTAGATGCTAAACATGTGTAATTTGTTTATAAGTTGAAACATACTTCCATTCATTGCTATATTGTGTTAGATGAAAACCTTGCTGTTTTCATCTAACACAATATAGCTTGCTGTTTTCATCTAACACAATATAGCTTGCTGTTTTCGCAAAAAAACACGTGCTTGCTGTTTTCGCATAATTGCTATAAAAATAAGTGAAAATCTCGAATGTTTCTAATTCTGAATTGCAAATATATTACACGTGTTTGAAGTTACTGTAACCTCGAATATTTAAAGATTAAGGGACAACTTTTATTTCTACATAAGAATTTATAAGCTTAAATCTAACCTTAAATCGGTCAAAAATAACAATGTGGACTCTAGTAGAAGGCTCATTTATTTACTGTTTACCAACTAACACACATTTGTAAGGGTGAGATGGTGATTAAACAGAAAAATATATTTTCCTTTTTTAATCTGTTTTTCGGAAAACACTAGCGAGGTTGAGGCTGAAGTTTTAAACGCGAAACGTGTACGTCGGACGTTCAGCGCCGCTTTCCTGTACGCCTAGAAGTTTGGCAATGATGTTTGGATAGTCAGTGGAATCATGTTCGACATTCCAATCACCATCGTCAAACTCCTACGCTTACAGGAAAGCGAAGCTGAACGTCCGACGTACACGTTTTCGCGTTTAAAACTTCAGCCTCAACTTCGCTACTATTATCTTGCTCGTTAATGTGTTGATTCGCCTGATAAAGATATGTCAGTTTAGTATGTTTTATAAAATATAATTTATTTTCATACTCACAGCTTTCAGAAATTTTATTCACCGTGTAATTGTTATTTACTCTACTAATATAAAAACGTTAAATATTATGCGTGTTTTACTAAAATCATTTGTATAAATGACGTTTTATACATCGCTGTCCTGAATTATCATTCTTAAATACGAATTGGTAAATAGTGAAAATACAATATTGTAAGAATAATATTCATTATTTTTCAATGTCATAATAGAATTTTTTTTTTTTATTGACAAGTTTCCAGGAATTGTTCATTTAGACGAAAATAAAGAGAAGTTTGTTAATAAAGGATTTTTATCAAGGGTAGTTCTCGTTCTTGTCGAATATCTCGGATTCAAGTAAGATATTTCATGTATATCGTAGAAAAATACAATATTTATTATTTACAATTTATGTAATTTCATGAATCGCTATTTTATTAATTTATAATAAGTATTTTATTGCAGCTATGATATTAAAAAAGGAAACTGGAGTGATATTGGATATTTTTTCAAAAATAAAGTATGAAATTTAGGTTATTTAGTCACATTATCTATGTTTTTAACATTTTAATCACTATGTTTTTATATTGTCGTTTAGTCAGTTGACATTGCTGTACCGAAGAGTCAAACTTTTCAAAGTTATAAATACATGGATTTTTCGAATATTATTACTGTAGATCCGGTAAAATTCATTATTGGTAAACCTGCAGAACTATCAAAATTAACTGCAGTAATTCGTCCGTTTTCTTTTCAGGTAAATATTATATTTACGTCTTACAGAAAAATTGTTTGTACAATATAGAATATAACTTTAATTCATATTTTGATATTGTAATACAGAATACAAATAATTCAAAATAAAATTTAAGATAACACATATGATGGATAATATTTCTTGTAATACAAAATATCTTAGGACGAGTATTACAGTTTCACAAAACAGTACAGAATGGTTTTATACTTTGAATCTGTAAAATCAGAAAATATAAACAAGTTCCGACTATTCTTTTAACTTAAATTTTTAATTATTACATTTTTTACAATGACAAAATGTGTTCTTTTCTCTAGAAATTGTAATTATAATGCAATGTAAAATTTCAGTTCTGTTCATACACTGTCTTATTAAAATTTACCTTAACGCCCATTGACGAGATAACTCGTCAGGTTTACATAGCGTTACGAAAAACGCGGTTTTTAAGGCAAACATTTTTTTTTTCAATTTTTGGAATGTCTTTTAGGTCCACAAATTTTTGCAAAAATTTTTGCCCGTGCGAAAAAATTTTATCGCGATTTTAATGAGCGTTTGATAAAGCTCGATTAAAGCTTAATTGTTTTTTAATGGGAGTTTTTTATCAAATTTATTTCATGGTTCCTAAGTTGTAGTGCACGGATTTTCCTTCGGTAAAGTTATTTAAAGCTATTTTCTGATGTCAAAAACGACCTCCGATAATTTTTTAATGTTTTTAATTAATCGATTTTTTAATATATTAATTTAATTAATTAGGGGGGTCGGAAATCGCAATTAAAATCTTAAGTTTTTAAAAATATTTAAAAATTTAGGCGTCGCTCATATTCACCCTGCTTTAAACCCTTGTTCTCCCCAGACGTCTGTGAGAATGCCCCGGGAAATTCGACTCCAGCTGTTCTCAAGGTCATCCAGCTGTGTAAACAATGACTCATCCGTGTTAAATTTCACAGAAAGGTGAGACAAAGGAAAATAAAATTTGAAGCTTTTTCTTCAAAATTAACGCATTTCTTTCGTTTTTTCCAGTTTTAAGTATTTTTATGTATTTTTTATGCTTAATTACATCATAATTAATAACAGGTGGTCGTTAAGGGGTTTAAATCATCGAAAATTTAAATAAAATTTCTACTTTTATCATTTCTAAAATATTTAAAAACATTTTTATAGACTTATCGAAGCGATGATAAATAATTTTCTCTGTCTCTCTTAAACAAGTGATGAATAATTTATAACAAATGGTTTTGTGGGATCCACTAAACATTTCTGCATTTTGTTTTCTCATTTGGCCTGGATTTTAAATTTCTAGTACACATATAAATACTATTTCCGAAGCTTTCTGTCAAATGTAATATAGGGAAATATTATTTATACAAATATTCAGTGATTTGTTTAGTCACTAAATAGTCAATCGTCTGCATGAACAATATATATTCCACTGATTCCTTGCTAAGATTATATACGATCTTATATATTTAATTTAAAAGTTTACAAAAATTATGTTTAAACTTCGTAATTTAACGTTAAATTTTAAGTAGAGATATTTTAAAATCTATGTTAAACCAGAGTTTCAGCTGTAAGATAATTTGATTTCATATTAAGTATTGATAGTAGAGCCTGATGTTTACATAGAGATGTGTAAACTCTCTCGTTGTGAGGTACTCACTTTCATTAAAAAAATCTTTAAGTTGGTTATGACAGTGAAAAAAGCATAAATGCTTAGGAAAAGAATATATATATATTTTCATTATTTTATGTCTTTCCATAAGTGTGATGTAATCTTATAACAAAATATGCAGATGTTTCAGTCTGTTTCCTGTGATTCATATAATTTCAGCTCTGTAGTATTGATAATATAATAATCCTGAAGGAGACGTGTTGTAACTCATTAAAAACATTAATTTATAGTTATAAAAAAATAATTTAATGAAAATAATCCCCGAAGTACTGTTACGTTGTGAGCGTATTTCAAAACTAGAACAAAGCAAAGATTAAAAATAAGACTATCTTCACATACCTGCATTTGTACTTATGTAATAATTACGAATATTTTTGTTATTTGTTTACAGATGTGGTTATTAACGTTTTTCGCACTTTTCATCTCTGTAATTTTCTTTACAATTATATTTCGAAAAGATGAAGAACTGCATAACAGAAAACATTCAAAAGCATACGATATTGCTTGGGCGTTATTTGGATCATTTTGTGATCAAGGTTGTATGAAATTAATATTATTAACCATTTAGTTAAACAAATATTATGTAATAATAATGGATTATTAATCGCAGGAAATCGGTTATTTTTACCTTCTGGCAACAGCTGCAGAATGATTGTCTGGGGATGGTTGTTTGGAATATTTATTCTTACTGCTAGTTATAGCGGTGCATTAATGTCTTTCATTACATTTCCTGGTCGAGAAAATGCTCCAAGAACGTTTACTGAATTAATGAAAGCTGCAGAAAATGGGGAATATATCATAAGCATTGATCCTCGATCTACAGCTTATGGAGTCATTCTTGTAAGTATAATGTGCATATTTTTAATTTGAAACCAAAACTAAATATTTTTGTATCTCAAAAACAGAATTAACATACCGTGTGGCATCGTTATTTTAAAATTAAAATATTAGCAATTTTACAGCTAATTTACATATACTGTATATTATACATAATTACATATAGCTAATTTATCCTCAACAAATGGCTGGTGGGCAAACATGGAAGTATGCAGTTTTATAGCTTTTCTCTTTGCTTAGCTAGCTGTTTTATATGTTGATAAGGCCTTTCCGTAATAATTCGTGGATTGGTCTCAGTGTGTCACGCTGTCTGATTAATTTATAATAAATATTTTATTACAGCTATGAAATTAAAAAGGAAAGTGGAGTGATGTTGGACATATCTTTTCCGAAATAAAGTATGATATTTAGGTTATTTCATCACATTATCTTTGTATTTTGACATTTTAATCACTGTCTTGTTATATTGTCGTTCAGTCAGTTGACATTGCTGTATCAAAGAGTCAAAATGTTCAAAGTTATAAATACGTGGATTTTTCAGATATTATTACTGTAGATCCGGTGAAATTCGTTATTGGTAAACCTGCAGAACTATCAAAATTAACTGCAGTAATTCGTCCGTTTTCTTTTCAGATAAATACTATATAATGACAGACCAATTGTTGAGGAAACAGATATATATATAGAAAGAGAGAGAGACTAAACTTTAATTTAAACTTTAGTTAAATCGGAAAATTTAATATAGCTAGTCCATTGTGTTCAGGAGACAAACTGCAACAAAGAGCAAGTATGTAATTGTTTTTTCCACAGAACCACTGGTGGGCACTTCTGTAATATACATTCTAATTGTTTTTATCGAAACGATTGTTTTAATTGAATAAATTGTTTTACTATTTTGTTAGATAACGTTTAACGCAATTATCAACATTCAATCAACTTGATGAAGAAAATAATCATTATCGAAGTTATATGAATATTAATATGGAATGATATTAACGAAACTTTATGACGTCTATCACGTATATTCTAAATGTATGAAATCAAATACTATAATATAAGCAGCAATTTATTATTTTCTTGCGATAAATATAATTTACTTTGAAAAGAAAGAAAAAGGTTTACGAGCAGCTTAATTATAAATACGAGTAATATAATTTGAATGGCAATAAACTAAGGAAAAGTTAGCGTCTTGCTGCTTATAACGAGGATCATTTCGATTAACTTTGATGTCTGATGATGTAATCTGTTTAATTAATAATGTATCTATCTACAAACGCTATTTTTTTTTAATTTTTCAGTTTCAGTTTTGGATTTGCTTATCGGCTTTATTTCGTAAATATAACACATTATATTCATAAATTATTGTGTTATTAAAACATATCAAACAGTCATCAACATAACAAATATTTTCTCACTTCTTTAATTTCTACTATGTTATCATCAATAACTGTCATATTTAACTCAGCTAATTTTGGACTAATACATTTTTTATTGTAATTAATGCATATTCGCTTCACTTCTTTCAATATCGTTTTTCCAAGTCTAAGGGTTTGGTTTTCCTAAAGATTTAAAAAAAGTAAGTATGTTCACTATATGACAAAAGATTGAATAACTGTCGGATTTGTATTTTTATGGCTCTAAGCTTAAAAAACTGAAACCCTTTTCCCAAGATTTTAATTATATAGAAAAACCACATTTGTTTATTTAGACATGTTATTAATACTTAGCAAAGTCTTTATTAACTCTGCCATGCAATCTCTAGAGAAAACATGCCAGTCCCAAGCCTGGAAAAAGGAAGATTGTTGGTTAGATGAGTGTCGATGCGCTAACTATAAAACAACAACGCAAATGAAATCTGAAGTCTATACAAGCAAAAGGTAAAAGATGCCGGCTCGGACGTCGCCCGGATAAACAAGGTCCGCGACACCAACAGAGCAATCAGAATTGAGTCGAAAAATTGGCTACCGAAATAAAGAAAAGAAAGCTTCACCCTGAAAGTTCCTACTGAAAGGACTAGCAACACTAGTCCTTTCAGTAGGAACTTGGAATGTCAGAACTTTATGGTCACCTGGAAAACTAGAGCTGCTTCGGAAGGAAATGGAGAGATATCAATGCGACATATTAGACTTAACAGAGATGCATTGGACATCATCAGGAGAACTCAATGGTGGTGAAGTCATCTAGTCAGGAAATGATACAAGGCATGAAGCTGGTGTTGAATTTCTGCTTAGTAAAAGAGCACGAGCAGCATTGCTAGGATATAATCCAGTTAGTGCAAGGTTGATGATGGCAAGATTTGAAGGAAAGCCATTTAATATATCAGTAATCCAGGTATATGCACCTACCTCAGATAGCAGTGAAGAGAAGATTGAACTTTTCTATAAAAATCTAAGCATGATAATAGAGAAAACACCGCGGAGAGATGTGATCATTATTGGAGGTGACTGGAATGCTAAAATTGAAAATAATAATGAAAGTTGAGAAAGAGTAATGGATAAGTGTGGATATGAGCAAGAAATGAACGAGAGTAAAGACTGCTTGAATTTGCCGTAGATCAAGTTTTAATGATATGCAACACCAAATTCCATCAAAAGAACTGTGGAAAATAGACATGGAGATGGTACAACAAAATACATGATTGATATGAGTTTGATCCAAAGGAGATGGTCAACATCAGTTCAAGTGTTAAACCTAACCTTTTAAGGAGCTGACATAGATTCTGATCACAGCTTAGTCATTGAAAACATAAAGATAGAACTAAAAAGGAAAGTTAATGCACATTTCCAAAAGAAAAGAGACATTTCAAAGCTAAGAGATAAGAAAATAGGGGACATATACAGAAATACACTTGAGAAAAAGATAAAAACCGTAGCCAGGATGGAAGGGCTAGACACAAGAGTGAAAGAAATAACAAAGGCAATAAAAGAAGCAATTGTGCAGACCCTATCAGAAGAGGAAAGAATCAACAAGAAATTAATCACACAAGAGACCCTAAAGCTTATCCAAGAGATAAGAGCTCTTAGGCTTAGAAGAGCATTTCTGAAGAGATGGAAAAACAGTATAAGGTAAATTGCAATGAAGTGAAAAAAGCAGTTAGGATGGACAAAGCGAAATGGTTAGAGGATCAGTGGAGAAACAGAAAAATATTACGGAGAATATAAGACTAGAGAAGTATATAAGATGATCCGAAATGTCAACCAGAAATGGAAACCAAAGCAAATGGGAATCAAAGATGAGAAGGGAGAGGTTTATTGGACAGGGTGGATGTCCTACAGAGGTGGAAAAGTTATTGCTCTGAATTATACAAGGAAACATTAGATATAGAATCTAGTAGATTAATTAAGAAAGATATCGCCACCAAATGTTGAAAATGAAAATGATATTATGAGGGTGGAAGTTGAAAGGGCAGTAAAGCGGTTAATAGACAACAAGAGTCCCGGACATGACAAAATCACAGGAGAAATGATTAAGCATGGAAGAGAAAGCTTAATTGACGAGATACACCAAGTGTGTAATGAGGTATGGAAATGAGAAAAGATACCTTAAAAATGGGCAAAATCAATACTGGTGACAATACATAAGAAAGCCAGCATGTTAGAGTGCAAAAATTATATAACGATTGCCGTAACAAACCAGATAAGAAAAATTTTGATAATGATCTTAAAGGGAAGACTAAGTACACTGCTGGCCAAGTAAAATGCAACGCCTGCAATATCTAGAGTCCTAAATGGTGTTGCATTTTATTTCGCCAGCAGTGTAATTTGATAGAACACTTAGCGGATGAACAGGCTGGTTTCAGGAAAAAAAGTACAACGCAGAGGATACTAACATTACGGCTATTAGTTGAAAAGACAAGAATAAAGCAGAGAAATATCTATTCTTGCTTTGTGGACAGAAGGCATTTGACAGATTAGGCCAAAAAGCCACCTTGGCAGTGCTAAAATCTTATGGAGTGAATCATAAACTAATAAACTTGCTAAGTTATTAATATAAAAAAATTACTTTTTGCCCTTGGTATAATTAAATTAATTAAAAATCTACTAATGTAAGGTAGATAATAAGGACTTATCACACCAGTGATAATAAACACAAACACTCAGGGTTTAATGGAGTACATATATTAAAAATGAGAAGGGGTGTGCTGTACATTAAAATCGATTACATTAGCAATTAACATGAAATAGCCAAAATGCATTTCGGACTAACGTAATAGTCCCTCTTCAGTTGGTATACATATGAAAAGGCTATAATACTTAAAATTTTTGCTATGTTATCTAAATGATAATGCAAACGCAACTGTGAGGTTTTGTGGAAGGCTAGGAAACTGGTTCACACCAAAAAGAAGCACCAGACGGGGAGATCCTATATCCCCAACTATCGTCATAAGTCTCTTAGAAAAAGTCATGAATAATATGACGCAAGAGATGCAGGGAACATCAGTTCAGAGGTGTAAAATTCAGTAACCTGAGATTTGCAGATGATATAGATATCATTGAAGAAAGTAAAGAACAACTAGAGAAAACATTACATCTGCTTAATGATGAAGGAAAAAGATATGGACTGATTATCAATAGCGAAAAAACTAAGACAATGATATTTGGTGATGGCAAGAAACTTCGTAGTAGATGAGAAAAACATTGAAATGTAAAGATTTACATATTTAGGAAGCAAACTAACCTATAATCTCGATTGCAGAAAAGAAATAGAGATTAGAATAGCCAAGTCAAAAACGAATTTGAAAGCAATCGACAAAATGTGGAAAAGTAAAGCAATTACTTTGCAGACAAAATTAAAAATATTGAACACCTGCATCTTCTCCTTCGTGCTGTTTGCCTGTGAGACATGGGTAATAACAAAAGATAAGGAAAAAATATATTAGCATTTGAAAGACACTGTTACAGAAAGATCTTACAATAAGATGGATGAAGAAAGTTACAAACAAAGGACTTTATAATAGGATATATATCAGGGGTGGCCAACCTGCGGCTCTTTGAAGGATTATTTGTGGCTCTCGATAAATGTACCCGAGTTCCCTTTTCATTTTTGTGTTATTATATTTAAAAAAATTATTATCGTTCCGTATGTGTTTCAAAATATCTTTTAAATTACTAACAACAAATATGAAAGACTAAGTGCAACGTTGTAACAAATTTCATTTCCGTCCAAGTTAAGAATGATATGACTCATCGAGAACTGCGCGAACGAACATAAACAGTGGCGAAATCGTCCGTTATCGACAGACTCCAGACCGATTTTGAATTTGTAAACTGTCATTGCAACGGACATTTGACATTGTGCTCTGGAGGAAACAATTTGAATCACTCTTGCTACGGATATAATTTGTAATCTGGAATATTTTGCATACCTTTTTAATACATATTTAATTGCGGCTCGCGAAAAATTTCAAATTTTAAAAATGGCTCGGACTATCAAGGAGCTTGCCCACCCTGGATATATATGAAAAAAAATTTATTACAAAAATTATACAACGAAAACATCAACTGTTTGGAAACATTATAAAAATGAATGGAAACAGAAAATTAAGACTTTAGTCTAAGGTATTATGAACGGATTCAACAAAAGAGGCAGACTATGTACAGAATGAATTGATGACGTTAAGAAGTAGTGTAGAGCGAATGCATGGGAATTGAGAAAATCGGCAATGGATCGAGAGAGAGAGAGAAGAAAATAGTGGAAAAGGCATCAGGCACCAACGGGCAATGAGCCCACGATTAATGATGATGATGAGTCTTTACTAAATTATTTAGCTTTAATACATATACAGTATAAATTAAACAAACTATGATAAAAAATAAAAATTTAGAGGCCCTTGATAGCTGAGGCTGGAAGCTTTAGCTTATTTAGCTTAATGGTAAATCCGGAACTGGATTGAAGGCAGTAAAGGTCCATAAAAATATTAGAATAATGTCGTTACATATCAAGAATATGTATAAATTTATAGTAACAAATAATAAAAGTAATGACTTCTTAAAACATAAACTGTTCAATTATATGATCTGTTCTTTAATATTGCCTGCTTATATTGCCAATTCAAAAGTTTAAATGAATTTATACTCTACCTGAATTATATACGAGATACATGATTATGTAATTTCTATATTAATCATTATGTTTATCATAGAGTATATACAATTTCATGACATAAATTAATTCAAACTATTAAAATTATTTACAGCGATCAACTCAGGGCACAGGCCTAGTCTTGAAAAAATCAATCGAATCAAATAAATTTACATATCCCCATTTCGACGAAAAGTTTGGTATTAGAATGATGACAGAAAAAGTTGGTTATATAACGTATGGTATTCTCATTAAATTAAAACTCAGTTCTTTGGGAATTGAAAATTTTCTGATATCTACAGATCAACTATATGCTAATAGCCTTGGATTTGGTATAGCCAAGAAATTTCCATACAGGAGAGACATCGACAAAGTGTAAGATACAGAAATATCTTGTATAATCTTTGCTTTAAATTTATGTTTATTTTATATATTTTTAAAATTAATTTTAGAATTTTACGCATATTTGAAACCGGAATTATCAGGAAGTTCGAGAATGATGAAGTAAGGAGAAACAGCATAAATCGATCATCACATTCAGAAAACTCCGAAACAAAAAATGTTTTAAGTATAAATGATTTAGCTGGACCGTTTTTAATTTTATTGGTTGGATATACTTTATCACTCGTTACTTTATTTTTTGAATGCTTCACAGTTAAAGTATATCGACATTTCTTCTAAATATTTATATACCCTAGAGGTAATAGGTTGAAAATTTTGTGTTTACGCAATGCAGCGATTTAAACCAAATTTAAAATTAATATCTAATATATAATCGAGACGGGTTGATAATAATAATAATAATAATAATAATAATAATAATAATAATAAT